GGATGAATAGGAACATGGCCCAAAAATTTTAGAATACGAGTCCGCAACTTATCTACTTATGAGACTAGTGAAATATAACATTTGTAGTTTAAAGTGGACCTTTGTAAATTCAGTTCAGCTCAGTTGATCAACTATGATTCGAGCACATACGTGAGGTTGATCCAGTTGCCACGACTCACACCGTAAAAATAACGATAAATAACATCGCTAGGATGGGGGGGGTTGGGTGCAAATAGAATGTCGATAAAATGAAAGCCAGAAGGAAGTGCGTTAGACTAATCAGAATGGAACGAAAATTAACAACCAGAAGAAGTGACGAGTGAGTGAGCCGATCTGCAACACCAGGACAGTTACTGTGAGCTCATTGGCAATACGTCGCGCACCAAGCAGAAGTCATGTGTTAAATTCCGCACCTAATCGTCGGCCTTCGGTAGCTCAGTGGTAGAGCAGCGGACCGGAAATTCGTGGACCGGGGTTCGATTCCCCGTCGAGGCAGATTTTCGTGTGGAGTTTAATCGTGACTTCTGCCTTCTACGAAACTTACGTTACTCACAAACATCTTTCAGAAGAAATAAGCCGAACGCCGGAACGCCACTGACTTCGTGACTGCGCCATGTCTGACACGGTCACCAACTATTGATGTGGAAAGTCCCGAGGCCCCCATCCAAAAAGACAGCATGCACCAGCCTGAGTAAGTCTCTCAGTCAATTTCTTCATGCCTCTATGCCATGCCATGGACTGGCCACTTCGAGATTTCGCCCAACTTGGTGCAGCCAGGGCGTATAATGCACGCCGAGGAAGCCGATCGGCGGGCATATGGAGGACATGGCCTAGCCAACGCAAGCGACTAAGATTTATCAAACACTCGAGAGAGGCACCAACTGGCGGAACTCAGCATTGCTCACCCAGTGTTTCCATCAAACCTGAGCAACACCCTGCAAGCACCGATGGCTAAACACGGTTGAGAGTTTAATGTCTTCATTGCGAACTGGCCATGTCTCCAATCCATACAGTAACACTGGTCTTATCGCAGCATTAAACACTCTAACTTTCACTGACAAGCTGATATCCCACAGATAGCTGAGTTCCCGGAAAGCCAAACGGGCCTTGTTGATACGCGAAGTAACCTCTCCAGTGATGCGACCCCCAGAGGTGACACAGCTACCGAGGTAAGTGAACCGATCCAGCAGTTCCAGCGGCTGTTAGGAAATAGCTAAAACCGGTGTGTCGGCCCAGTCCTTTAACAGCAATTTGCACTTTGAAGGTGCAATGTACCTACCGAAGCATGCAGCGCTACGCACAAATCTGTGCAGCAGTGTTTGTATAGCCAAAGCATCAGACCCAAAAAGAACTATGTCGTCCGCATACTTTAGGTTTGTCAGTCGGTAGCCTGGCAAAACAGTTTGAAAAAACCGAGTCGTTCATGATCATTTCGATCACAAAAGTGAAGAGGAAAGGATATAGGACAACCCTGGTGAATCCCACCTGTCGTGGGGAACTCAGGTAACAGTCTACCGTAGACCCTGACACGGCCTCGGGAATTTAGAATGCAACGGAGTTTACCTGACACGCCCTTCATGGATAGGCAGTGCCACAAGCTGGCGCGGTCAACAGAGACGAAAACGGCTTCCAAGTCAAGGAAAACAACAACGGTCGGTCGTTTGTACGTGTCACTAGTCTAAAACTTTGCGAAGAGTAAATATGTGGTCGATACAACCACGACCAGGGCGGAAGCCAGTCTGGCTTTCAGTGATCCCGTCATCACGGGGACCAGTATGTCGTCGAAGAATGATACCCGTGAGAAGTTTCAAAGCAATAGAAATAAGGCTAACGGTTCGATGATTTTCGCACAAAGTAACCTGACTCCTCTTGAAGTGGGCAAGACGATTGATAGTCGACAACCTGAAGGTACTTCTTCAGTGACCCAAACCGTGTTAAAAAGAGAAGCAAATCCAGTCAACAGAGTCACCACCACCTTACAGCAAAGATGGAGGAAAGTCGTCGGGTCCCGGAGGCTAGTTTCGTTTTAACACGGCGAGCTCATGTCGAATCTCATCCAAAAGTGGAAGATGTGACTTTTACTTCCCATATCAGCTCAATTGATTCGGTAAGCGGCACAGTCGCAGTAGGCCTGTTGAATTGCTCCTCAAAATGTTCCGCCCAAGGGGCAAGTAGACGACGCTGAGAACGGATCAACTGTCCACCTTTCTCAGCTATTATTGTCTTGCTAACGGATGGCTTTCTCGGACCCGTGTTCCGGATGAGCTGAAACAGCACCCGCCTGTTTCCAACAGGGCCGGCTTTCTCCATTTCACGGGCCTTCCCAATCCACCAACGTTCTCGGTCAACTCGAAGAATCCTTGTCGACGTCGTTTCAGGGAGTTACGGATACGCTGAAATTCAGTGCCCATCGGAAGCTGTTTACGTGCTTCAATCAAACTGATCGATGCCTCAGAGATATATTCACAGTTACGATGTCTCAAGCCAGGCGCAAAGCAAGCGCCAAACACATTCCTAATGGCACACTTGGGACGATCCCAGTTATCCATCACTGAGAAGTGGTGGGCCAGTTCGCTATGATATTGTTGAACCGAAGACTGCGTGTTCAAGTTACTGGTAAAGTTAGAACGTAGGCCCTTCTTTGAAGTGGGAAGAGTGAGCGCCAAGCGTGCGAGCACTAGAGCATTGTCGGAACCCAGGCATGTGCCCCAAATTGACCGACAGTCTCGGACTGATGTGCGCCATCTGTAGCTAATGGCAATATGGCCAATTTGGGTCCAGGTCATCGGGAGATTCGGTGGGCGCCAGGTGAGGCGGTGTGAACGTTTATGCTGCTAATATAAAGATGTCAGCGCACAATTGCGTGAGTCGATCCCCATTGTCTGGACAGAGTGTATTGACTGCGAAGCGCCCTCCCAAGTGTTGTTCAAAATTCGAAAGACGACCCACTTAGGAATTCAAGTCACCGGCAACAATCAGGATGTCAGTACTCCTTGCCATGCGGGGAAGAGGTGAAAGATGGTAGCAGAAATAACCTTTGATACGCTCCGAGCTGAAGTCAGTATAAACGGAGGCGATGAAAAAGCACCTTGTCTTTATATAGCGCTTGTTAACCCTAATAGAGGTTCGAAGTCGAACCGCACACATGCGGCTGTGCACTGGTATCCAGTCGAGTAGACTACCTTCAGCATGTCTGCTAAAGGTAATACCAACACCGTAAATGGCTTGAGCCATAGACTCAGAATTGCCACAGACGCGAAGGGTGAGTCATTGTTGTCAGATTCAAAATCAGGAAGTCAAAGATTCGTTACAACGCTGTCATCTTGTATGCGTGTTTCAGAAACACAGCAAACATCAATACCAAGAGAGTGAAGAGTGTTAGTGATGCCTGTTGACCGATCTGACCCAGAGTAAGGACGTTAAAAGGACCGATATAAAGTGAGACTCGTGCTTTGATGGACGAGTTTCGAGTATCGATGGCAGAGGCAGCAGTGGGGGATTTGGAAGTTCGCTTGAGGGACTCCGCCTAGAGCCTTTGGCTCAATAGCCTGACCCACAAGGCAGTGGGGGAGCAAGTCTAGCTCGGGAGTGTGATTGCAGAGACGCATCGGGATCTGCTTGAGGCCTGTCACACATAGCCTTTGAAGGTTTGGAACAATTGACCTTTAGAAAGCCAAACTGGAAACCGTTTATCTTATAAGCAAACTACCTGCAATTTATTAGCAAGGAAGAAAGAGTAAGGTGACTCGACGATGCTCAAGCTACATTGCAGTCAGGTTAACGCAACCCCAATCGTGTTAGCTTTGGGCCCTATTGCCAGAGCTGCTGTTGATCGTGGTTGTCGTTAACCCCGATCAGAGGCGGTGACTCAGTGGTTCCGCCTTTCCACTGGTCTTCGCGTTGTGTGTGTGTGTGTGTGTGTGTGTGTGTGTGTGTGTGTGTGTGTGTGTGTGTGTGAATCTGCGCAATTCCGCGACTACTGAAATGTCAGATTCCGAACAGCGGATTCAACCTACATCTGCAACCGATTCCGCCTCGCTCAAAAAGCAGGACGCGCGCGAACGTCATCTTGCACACAGTCAGAGGCTGCATGGTAACGCTGATTTGGTCGATGAATAACCAAAGCACAGTTTGTCATCAACGACGAGATATGTAATGATGCAAATACAGTAAAAGTTCCGTAAGTTGACCACTCAAGGGACTGGACCAAAGTGGTCAACCCAGAAAGGTGGCTAACATTGAGGTCTGGACCCAGAGGAATAGATATTTATTTAAAGTTGAATTTGGAGAATCCGCTGGCGGTTGGGTTGCTACAAGCAACCGCTATTGAGATCTCGGTTCACTTGAGGTGGACCTCGGTCATTCCGATCAAAAAGACCGTAAGTAAAATGAAAATTATAGTGTTGCTCATCCCAACACTGGCACCCCAAGACCGCGGTTTCGTCCAGTTGGGACTCATCAGCTGATGATGATGGCAAAAGTAGCAGCGGGACAGTCCTCTATCAGCTGAGTGTTTTTAACGTCGCTATTTTCTTTCTTACTAACAAGTAGCTGATGAAATGTTTAACAAATAAACAGTGTCCGGCATGATTGCCAAAATTTTTAGGTGCGTCTGTAAGACGGCAGGTTTGCAGTGAAAATTGTACACAAAACATGAGGTAAACAGTGTTGTTTAGAAGAGAGCTGCCCATTGTAACACTGACGTGTTGTGGCAACTGGATCTACTGCAGTCGGTGTCTGGATCACAGTTGTTTAACTAGAACGAACTGAACTACACATGGGAAAGGGCGCTGTTCAGTCGAAAAAAGAGAAACGATCATATCAAAGTATGAGAGCAAGGAATTCAATAGGGTCAGAGTAATGATGTTTTGTCACACGTATCAAGCTATGCAATCAAAGGAATATTATTGGCTCATATCAAACCGAGGTTGATACGGAACTACGTGCAAATTTCTTGTTGCTGAAAGGGGTAGTGAATGATAGTGTACATGCGAACTCACTGAAGGCACGGCGGCGGCCAACATGATGCAGCATGTTACTGCGCGGCGGCTGGTAATGGCATATGCGTCGCGATCCTGGAATCCGGAGAGATAGTATATAGAAGAAGACCAAAGTGAACAAGTGAAAATAGTCCAAACGCCACACGAGATAGGGTTGTGGCGTTATAAATCCGGTACCAGCGCCATCAATATAGCTGAATAGGCGCAAAGAAGCACCAAGATAGTTGAGGGGTTTACCTCATAAACGGTACTCAAGAAAACTTATTATATGCTATTATGAATTAGATGAAATAATGAGCGCGACTAAATGAAAGTGCGCAGGGTAGAAAAAAGATATCAGACGAGAAAGAGTATAAACCAAAAAGTCACCAGTGGCGTGAGAAAATTGCACTAACTTGTGAGTCACTTAAGAGTCCAGCTAGTATTCCACCGAGAATACCTCCAACATCGAAGACCACGGACAACTGAGCAGCTCTTTCGGCGGTCAGCGGCGAACCATCACCAACAACAGCGGCGAGATAATTTGGCAACCAATAGAGGAACGTGTATGATACAAGTTTGGTGAAGAAGAGCAGGAGAGAAAAGGCCAACACGTTCTAAAAAAAGAGGCAAAACACAGAGGTCGGAATAACCACTAGAAACAGTAAATTCAAATAACAAACTTAGGGAAGTGAAAGTGGGCAAAGGAGGAGTGATTAACAGGTATTTACCGGTAACAGAAGGGCCTCAGAGAAAGTGACGGCTCGCTTATTGTACTGGACTGGGGGAGAAAGGATGTCCATGCTTTCTGATTCATTGAATGTGAGTGAAGACGGCTGAAAACAAAACATTAGACAAGCATCCTGGTGAGTCAATCGAACAAAAACAGCAAAATCAATACAGCATGGAAAGAAACGGCCATCGGATTTCCATATGATGCTTCAGTGGTATTCTTTTGATGCACTTACGCTACCAATATCTGCTTCTAGATGCATCGTGATACCCAATCAGGGTATTGCAACTGCCAAGAGCTGGAATTTAAAAGAATATAGCATCATAATGCTTGTGAGTACACATTAACGTACAGTGGAACACGTGCACGCACGAAACCAGTGCTTTCGACGATAGGCACTGAAAAGACACCGAAATTCGTATGACAGGGTACAGTATGAAACAGGACCTTGTAAGTGACAAAAAGGGTCAAGGATTGCATTGACTTAGTACAACTGATGCAGACGACCGGTATCCTAAACGGACATCGATCATATCAATGGTCTACCAAGCACATGTGCGTGTTTCTCGACCTAAGCTGTTGTGAATCGAAATATTTGAGAAGCTATGACCTGAGGTACAAATACCTCATCAGAAAAAATGCTTGATGAGAATAGAAGAAAATATTACGATAATAAAAGGAAAAACAAATAACAACAAGCAGTGCGGCATTGGATTCGTGATTTTGTCAAAGATAAAATCTCCGATTTGGCCAGTCTCGAAAGCCCCAAACGGAAGGTATATGCCAGCTCGAATAACTATATCCGTTAAATGATTCATGCCACTTAGATGAGTAAAAAGCTGACACTGAAACTTCAATGATATAGTACAGCTCATTCTGGAGTAATGCACGGAAAGGAGGTTCAAATGCAAAAGATGGCTTATTGCGATGGCAGACGGATTGTGGACGCAACACGAGTCACACCGTGGTCTCACCAGATAGGAGCAATACTGCGTGGACCAGTCAGTCTCTTGACAGCCATTATGTCACTCACCAACAGGATGACACCGGCAGAAGTGCAGTGTGGTCAATGACTGACAGGAATACATTCATGATAGGGTTTTACGCTACTAGGTTCTGTCAGACAGACAGCACATATCCGGAAAGGCGCCGGATGGCCGTTTCGTTCTCATGGGACACGTCAGCAACGCGCATCTGAGGTGTCCTAAAGGATTTGAATTCACGCTTCCATTCTTGTGAGCCACCTAGTTAAGCTACGAAGTCAGGTGTGAAAGCGACGGGCCCCAAAAGATTTGCGAATTCCCTCGTTAGGTTGCCATCTTTCGGAGCATATGACGCACAAATCTGATCCCTGGAGCAGTGGGAACAGATCCAGCTAGACGAAGCCGTAGTATAACGCCATGGGACCAGGTTGAGGCTGAGCACAAGCGAATCAAGTAGGTTTATGACAATAAACGTATGTATTGTAGTGGTGGTAGTCGTACGCCTATGACCATGGTTGGTGGCAGATGGCTTTTAGTAGGTTGGCACGTTTAGAGCCAAGGATTGTTTGAATTAAGAAGTCGGTAACAAACCAAAGAACAGATAACATGCCTCGCGCCGCCCGGCACATGCTATAGTGTCCGTGTGCTGTAACAACTGAGATGGGTTTGTAAATGTGAAGTTTTGGAAGGTTACGGTCATCGATCACTTTCTAATCTGCAATGAGACTGAGGTTGAAAATGAACTTGGCTGGTGTCCAGTGATTGGTCTATCTGTGTTGGTAAGAGGGACTACATGTGTCACGGACCAAGAGTTATCATCTTAAGATCCAGGTTCGTAGTGAATTTTCAATCACCAATGTCTTCGAAGTGCTGCTCATATTCGTGGGAACACCGAGTGAGCAGAAATGAAAACAACTCGTTGGCGTCAGGCAACACGTTGTTTAGCAACGCACTGAAACGTATACTATACCTTTTTACACGCATATTAGCGTATTGTACCAAGCTTTTAGCGTGGTTCATTTTCGAAATAGCGTGCGGTACTTTCAAGTTAGCGAGGCCAGGAACGCTGATTTGGCGTCCTTGACACTCTCATTGGTCATGGGACATAAACCAATGGGACTTCGGTTAGAAGCCACCAGCATAAGCGACAGACACTCCAATGAAAGTGGTCGAGCACCACCTTCTGGTCTGCCTTGATGCCCATCTGAGTAAACCTCGATGATTGGTCTCCAACCTGAAACCGACCAATAGGCAAATTGTGCTGTCTGTCAAAGGAGGAGATGCTAGCTACCACATTATCCAAAGCTTAAGACGTAACCAGTGAGGACAGACATACTAACCAGCACATAAAGCGGTCTATACTTAGTGAGCACTAGCGGCTACCTGGTGGTGGCTTATTCAGCGGTAAGCCTAAGACGTAACCAGTGCGGACAGACATACTAACCAGCACATAAAGCGGTCTATACTTAGTGAGCACTAGCGGCTACCTGGTGGTGGCTTATTCAGCGGTAAGCTTAAGACGTAACCAGTGCGGACAGACATACTAACCAGCACATGAAGCGGTCTATACTTAGTGATCACTAGCGGCTACCAGGTGGTGGCTTATTCAGCGGTCTAGCCATGGTGGCGTAGACAGGCAATGTTCTAACTGGTATTCCGCTGGTATTCCGAAGATCAGCAATGGCTGCTAGGCGGTTAGACAATTGTGTGCGACTGTCAGTGCAACGACCATGGGGAGCATTTTTCCCATTGAAGTTGGAAGACCAACCTGAAGCCGAACAACGAAAATTCTAAGTTTGCTTACTTTCATCACAGTTGATGACTCAACAAAAACTAATAGGAATCCAAGTGTGGCGTTGACTCGACGTTAGTGAGTATTCCTTCGTCTTCACACCCATAGGCGGATATTTTAATCACTTATCGCTTCAGCATCTCCATGTATGACATTATGTAAAGGTAATAGGAACGTATGTATTCATAGGACAATTATGCTTCACTTCCATATGGTCACCCATGGTGGCGTAGCCAGGCAATCATCTAACAGGTATTCCGTATTTCAGCAACGGCTCCTACGTGGTTATCAAATTTTCTGCGATTGTCATTGCGACGACTATGTGGGACATTGTCCCCATTGAAGTTGGAAGACCAACCTGAAGCTGAACAGCAAAAATTCTAATTTAGCTTACTTCCATCACACTTGATGACTCAACAAATCCAATAGGATTCCAAGTGTGGCGTTGACACGACGTTACTCAGTGATCGTTTGTCTCCACACCAATAGGCGCATTTGTTGATCAGCTATCGCTCCATTGTCTCTATTTATGGCATTATGTAAAGGTCATAGGAACCTATGTATTCATAGGATAATTACGCTTCACTTCCATATGGTCGCCCATGGTGGCGTAGCCAGGCAATCATCTAACTGGTATTCCGTAGTTCAGCAATGGCTACGAGGTGGTTATAAAATTTTGTGCGATTGTCATTGCAACGATCATGGGGAACATTGTTCCCATTGACGTTGGTAGACCAAGCTGAAGCTGAACAACGAAAATGCTAAGTTAGCTTACTTCGATCACAGTTGCTGACTCAACAACTACTAATAGGATTCCAAATGTGGCGTTGACACGACGTTACTCAGTGTTCGTTTGTCTCCACACCAATAGGCGAATTTTTAACTCAGTTATCGCTCCATTGTCTCCATGTATGGCCTTATGTAAAGGTCATAGGAACGTATGTATTCTTAGGATAATTACGCTTCACTTCCATATGATCGCCCATACATGTTGAGACGCTTTGACAAGTGGCTCTCCAAATGGAATCATTAGAAGCACAGTCTTTGCTGATGGAACCTCCCTATTACGTCCATAGACTAGCATGCTATCCTCATGAAATCGGCATTATTCAACAAAGAAGCACCTAAAGGGGCTACAATGACTACAGTGTTTATACATGCCACATCATCTTGCTAGGAAGAACGCAAGACTTATAATTATTGGCGACGCAGGCATTTTACTCTGGTAACTCAGGTGAGTAGTTAGAACAGACAAACACTGTTGTCTCACCCACGGGCGTTCCTACAATGTGTTTGCAATCATTTACAAAGACAAACACGTCCACTAATCCTGCTATGGACCACTGTTTCAGCTGGTCTTAGAAGCAGTCATGTGTGCCCGCCGTGACACAGATTGTTTTCGACTTGGCAACTACTGGGAAACATTTTGTTGTTGGAAGTAGGCAATTCCGGAGGTATTGTTGAATGAGGAAAATTGCTCCACACTCTATGCTTACTATGCGTATGCAATGCTCGTTGGCAGCTTATATCAGGGCCGTAGAGTCACTTGACATTTCAAGCTTATCAATCACTTGGAAGTGAAGTATAAATATCATGTCGAAACGCAGGATTGACCTGCATCTTACGACCTTAACATAACGGCAGGTCCATGGGTCCTGTAGCGGTAACTGATTACCGAAGTGGCGCACAGGTGTGGAGACGAACGCACACTCACTAATGTCGTCTCACCGCCACACTAGGATCCCTCCTCTTTGGAACAATGGCTACAGATCCACTGATGGTCTTACTTACACAGCGAATTTGACCCTAGTATACAATGCGCCGACTACATCAGTAATACATAGCCACACTATTCCCATGAGTGTACGGCCAACTGGAAAAACACAGCAAGAGAAATTTGTAGCTGTAAAGCTTTTTAAAAATTCTACTTGCCAAGTCCTAGCTTTACCTCCTTCATACGAATTATTGCATTGTTTCCGATTACCTCACACTGCGTTAACAATCACACGCACATCCTAAGGTAAGTCGCACACCTATCGATTCTCCAGATTGCTCGCAGTGGCACGATTACACTATGCATCACGTGTGGCCAGATAGGCTAGCGAGAAAGATAGCCAACTTGCATTCAACCCGTAAGCCTACAAAGGTTCCCTTCCAACAGGGTTGCAGCCAATCCGCTTCCTATCACTACTCAATTAGTTGTCATCACGCTCGTGTAAGCCTTCAAAGCCCCTCTTACAACAGGCTGCAAACATTCCAACCTCAAAAAGCCACCAATCCGCTTCTTATTACCACTCGCAGATTTCCTCTCGCCCCCATGCTAATGGTAGCTCCTTACGCCAGATTGGCAGCATGAGCAATCACGTACTATGTCTCCCATTGGCTGATCATCCTCGACAGGACGACGAAACCGCTGGTTAACCAGTACTATCGAGCACTTGCTGTAATGTTACCTGTTCTTTGGCCTAGTAAACTCGTCGTGTGATCTGGACCCCATTGGTCCGCTGCGTATCAAGCGATGCACTTTGGGGTCGAGTCTGTGGCCACACCAAAGGGAAGACTAACAAGTGTGACACTGTGCGCGCGTGCAGTCGTATCGACGCTTTCAATCATGTCGATTGGACGGTCTGAATCCAGACAGAACGCCTCGGCTTTCCTTCAGGCGCGCATTGGTGCGGCACAGAATGTGATGGTACTTTTAAACAAGAGCATATTTTGGAACGATTGTTTTGTTTAAAACTACCTACAGGCTGGTAGTGGGCTTGCAACTTCGCTGTACCATTCACTCCGTTTGTCGGTCGCCTGTCTGTTGATCGCAATCGGTGTATCAGCACACTTCAATGGTGTCGAGGATGATCAGCCAATGGGAGACATAGTACGTGATTGCTCATGCTGCCAATCTGGCGTAAGGAGCTACCATTAGCATGGGGGCGAGAGGAAATCTGCGAGTGGTAATAAGAAGCGGATTGGTGGCTTTTTGAGGTTGGAACGTTTGCAGCCTGTTGTAAGAGGGGCTTTGAAGGCTTACACGAGCGTGATGACAACTAATTGAGTAGTGATAGGAAGCGGATTGGCTGCAACCCTGTTGGAAGGGAACCTTTGTAGGCTTACGGGTTGAATGCAAGTTGGCTATCTTTCTCGCTAGCCTATCTGGCCACACGTGATGCATAGTGTAATCGTGCCACTGCGAGCAATCTGGAGAATCGATAGGTGTGCGACTTACCTTAGGATGTGCGTGTGATTGTTAACGCAGTGTGAGGTAATCGGAAACAATGCAATAATTCGTATGAAGGAGGTAAAGCTAGGACTTGGCAAGTAGAATTTTTAAAAAGCTTTACAGCTACAAATTTCTCTTGCTGTGTTTTTTCAGTTGGCCGTACACTCCTGTGAATAGCGTAGATAGGTATTGCTTATGTAGTCGGCGCATTGTATACTAAGATCAAGTTCGCTGTGTAGGTAAGATCATCATTGGATCTGTAGCCATTGTTCCAGAGAGGAGGGTTCCTAGTGTGGCGGTGACACGACATTAGTGAGTGTTCGTTCATCGCCCCACCTGTGCGCCACTTCGGTAATCAGTTACCGCTACAAGACCCATTGTCCTGCCGTTATGTTAAGGTCGTAAGATGCATGTCAATCCTGCGTTTCAACATGATATTTACCCTTCACTTCCAAGTGATTGATAAGCTTTAAATCTCAAGTGACCCTACGGCCCTGATATGAGGTGCCTACGAGCATTGAATACGCATAGTAAGCATAGAGATTGCAGAAATTTTCCTCCTTCAACAACGTCTCCGGAATTACCTACTTCCCAATGACAAAATGTTTCCCAGTAGTTGCTAAGTCGCTAACAACCTGTGTCACGGCGTGCACACATGACTGCTTCTAAGACCAGCTGAAACAGTGGTCCATAGCAGGATTAGTGGACGTGTTTGTCTTTGTAAATGATTGCAAACACATTGTAGGAACGCCCGTGGGTGAGACAACAGTGTTTATCTGTTCCAAGTACTCACCTGAAGTACCAGAGTAACATGCCTGCGTCGCCACTAATCATAAGTCTTGCGTTCTTTCTAGCAGGACGATGTGGCATGTATAAACACCGTAGTCATTGTGGCCCCTTTAAGTGTTACTTTGTTGAGTAATGCCGATTCTTTGAGGAGAGCATGCCAGTCCATTGACGTAATAGGGAGGTTCCATCTGCATTGACTGTGCTTATAATGGTTCCATTTGGAGAGCCACTTGTTAAAGCGTCTCAACACGTATGGGCGATCATATGGAAGTGAAGTGTAATTATCCTAAGAATACATAGGTTCCTATGACCTTTACATAACGCGATACATGTAGGCACTGAAGTGGTAACTGACTAACAAATGCCCCCATGGGTTGGGAGACAAACGAACACTCATTAACGTCGTGTCAACGCCACACTTGGAATCCTCTCACATTTTGTTGAGCCATCAACTGAGATAGAAGTAAGCGAACATAGAATTTTCGTTGTTCAGCTTCAGGTTGGTCTATTAACTTCAATGGGAACAATGTCCCCATGATCGTCGCAATAACCATCGCGCGAAATTATATAACTACCTAGCAGCCATTGCTGACGTGCGGAATACCAGTGAGATTATTCTCTGTCTACGTCACCATGGGCGACCATATGGAAGTGAAACCTAATGATCCTATAAATTCATAGCTTCCTATGACCTTTACGTAACGCCAAATATAGAGACACTGAAGCGACAACTGATTAACATTTCGCCTATGGGTATGGAGACAAACGAACACTCACTGACGTCGTGGCAACGCCACAATTGCAATCCTATCATTTTTTGTTGAGTCATCAACTGTGATCGAATTAAGCAACCTTAGAATTGTCGTTGTTCAGCTTCAGGTTGGTTTAACAACTTCTGTGGGAACTATGTCCCCCATGATCTTTGCAATGACATTCGCACACAATTGTCTAACCGCCTAGCAGCTATTGCTGTACTGTGGAGTACGAGTTAGATGATTGCCTCTCTACGACACCATGGGCGACCATATGGAAGTGAAACCTAATTATTCTATGAATTCGTAGCTTCCTATGACCTTTAGGTAACGCCATACATAGAGACACTGAAGCGACAACTGATTAACATTTCGCCCATGGGTATGGATGCAAACGAACACTCACTGACGTCGTGTCAGCGCCACAATTGCAATCCTCTTATTTTTTGTTGAGTCGTCAACTGTGATCGAATTAAGCAACCTTAGAATTGTCGTTGTTCAGCTTCAGGTTGGTCTACTAACTTCTGTGGGAACTGTGTCCCCCATGATCGTTGCAATGACATTCGCACACAATTGTCTAACCGCCTACCAGCCATTGCTGTACTGTGGAATCCGAGTTAGATGGTTGCCTGTCTACGCCACCATGGTTAGGCCGCTGAATAAGCCACCATTAGGTAGCCGCCAGTGATCGCCATAGACCGCTACATGTGCTGGTTAGTATGTCTATCCACACTGGTTAAGTCTTAAGCTTTGGATAGTGTGGTAGCTAGCATCTCCTCCTTTGACAAGCATCACAATTTACCTATTGGTCGATTTCAGGTTGGAGACCAATCATCGAGGTTTACTCCAGTGGGGCATCAGGGCAGAACGGAAGGTGGTGCTCGACCACTTTCATTGGACTGTCTGTCGCGTATGCTGGCAGCTTCTAACCGAAGTCCCATTGGTTTACGTCCCATAACCAATGAGAGTGTCAAGGACGCCAAATCAGCGTTCTCCGCCTCGCTAACTTGAAAGTACCGCACGCTATTTCGAAAATGAACCACGCTAAAAGCTTGGTACAATACGCTAATATGCGTGTAAAAAGGTATAGACCCAAACCGCATTTCGGCCACATCATTTTCATCGCAAGCCTCCCAAATACCTAGACACCTAGGATGGAGTGAGATAGCCACTCGCTGACACTGCAAAAGTATGAAGAAATTGAGAGAAAAGCTGAATCCGATTGGTGCAGTAAATTGGTCCCTGGATCGGACACATCAGAGGATAGAAATCACCTCGGATTTGGAGCAACCAAGAAGTCAATTGGCGCAGACATATTGGGTTGGTGATTAATATCACATAATCCTTCTCCACAAGACCTTATAGATAATTTGCCTATGCTTTCAAGGAAGTTCTTAATTTGGTTCATTTCTAACAGTAGTTCTCATACTTGGTTGCACCCACTGATGACTTCACTAAAGGAACTAGATCCATCGCAATTCCGCGCAAGTAGTAGACAAATGGTACTGTGGTGAGAATACGAGGTTTCAGGTGAACCATAGGCGGGTTGAACAGTGAAGTGAATGAATCTGTGTGCACGTTTGTGAAATGTTGTAGAACTTTCTCAACAACTCTGCAGTGCAGGTCCTTGTCTTACACAGAGATGGAAAGAATTGAGACAAAAATTTCGCGAACACTCACTTCGGGTGGATGCAGTGCAGATGCACTATCCGGGTTACCGCGCGGCGACTCGCACGTACGAAGACGATGGAGCTGTACTGTTTCCGGGCGATCGACCAAAGTCAGAAATACCAGAGCAGACGCCGTCATGAGAAGTAGACCAGGAACGATGAAAGAGGCACCCCAATCGGATTCGACGTAGTGGCCGGCTATAAGTGAACCCACAATATTTCCGACACTTGTGTGCGCATTCCAGACACCCATTATGAAGCCACGCCTGATGTGAAGAATGGACAAACTAACGTTATTTTAGGCAGACTGGGATAAGAGCAGCGCAGGAAAGACGTGCGAGACTGTTGAGCACAATCCGAACTTGTGCTTGAGGAAACAAGAAACTGAATAAACAGACTAAGCGCATAGAATTGGAGTGACCCAAAAAAGAATAACTCACTGACTTTTTTTAGCTTTTCACCTTGCAATCGCCCATGTACTTAATGTGATACTTCATTACTTGCTCTTTCCAGGCGAGGTGTTCACCACACTGCTCTCATTCTTATTCACCTTTGGAAACAACAAAAGTGGAGTTCAATCCAGTTCACTCTTCTACGTTATTCCGAACTCGGTAAGCTGTTTACGTGTCATTGTATGAGGTAAGTATTCGGGCCGTACACCAGAAATGATGAGCCCGACTGCGAAGATTATCGAAACGCTTGGATATTATCTTGAAAGAACTCATCAGCTCTCTTCTGAAACTTGCTTTCCTGTCATCATTATTTTGTGATACCCTGTGGCTCACTCAGGTACCTTTCTTTTCGGACCAACACTTAGTGTAGAATTGCTATCCGTCCCACCCTCCTCCATTGCATGGTCCACTATGTTCGTTTGAATTTTTAGCAACATTCGTACAACACTGAATCAGAGACAGTCCTTTGAACCTTACTAAAAGTCCGCAACACAAGGCAGGTGATTGTAACCAGGCTGGAGCATTTAGAGGACGAGCGAATGAAATCCCTATTCCATGGCTTGCGTCAACGCGAGAAGAGCGCTTCCTGTATCCCGTGAAATAAAGAAACGTTTCCATCCGTTTACAATAAGTGACCATACTACGGGAACTCCAGTTGCAGCTTTCACAGGAAGTCGCACAAATGGTCGACGTGATCACAAACCGTCTTCCCAAACAAACAAACTGCTCAGTACCTCCGGTTTCACATTCGCCGCTACTTGGTAAAAGCCAACTAATTCATAACAGTTTTATGTAGCTCGTACCTTAGAACCCAATGAGTCTGCTATACAACGTACCGATATAGCAACATTACACTTGAATATAATTTAACTTCAATGCACGGACACCTAGCAGCCAGTCTCTAAACCATAACAGTCTACCACCTAGAAAACGATGATGTCGATAATATGATGATTTTGGTTCCCGGGCGAAAAGAATTTTTTTACTCTGTGCTCTCCTCTTAATTCAACTGCTGGAGTCACCTAAGTCAGTATTCATAGAGCATTAACATTTTGCTGAGTATTCATTATAGTCGCAACCCCGTCTGCTACCATTCACACAGACTTCTACAGATATTTTGATCTCTTGGTTGGCGCGAAACGCCAGAAAATAGTCAACCCCATAAAGGCTCTTAATGTTCGTAACACTAACGCCGACATGATGCCTATCACCCCGGTCTATGCCACTCACCAGACTTCTCCCGACGGTGCTGAAATCTTCTTCCACTACTCAAGTCGTTCAGTCAATGAATACTGGGGCGTGTGGATAGAACAGGAGGAAAGACAAAGCGAAGACTTGGTCAGGAGGAATAAAAGTTCCAAGTTGACCTCGGTTGGAGCCTCTAGACGATGAACACGTTTCGCTGAATACACTTATTACCATGATTAGGATCCGACCACAGTGGCATTAGTGATGTGAATTTCTTCGCTCCTCCTCCGCCTGCTTAGTCTTCCCTACAATCACGATCTAACTAATCGCCGATTCGTTGCTAACCAACGTATTCAGATGGAAATTTAGCGAACAGTTATGCCGCCGAATCCGTATACATTATTGGATTCATTTCATATCATCTTGTTTCAAGTGACTGGCTGCAGCTTGATATCCCCGGTGTGGCTGCGCTTGATGTTCATATTGACAAGGTGCCTACCTGTCTAATACCCACTACCTCGGGCAAACTGGATCCAGCAGATGGGCTGTTGATGGAAGCGACGGGGTGCACGGTCTTGGTGGCCGTGCTAGCCTCCAAGAACGGTTTCATGCATCAATGTGGAAAGGACTACGGTCCAGCCACCGCCATGTGTGTGCTTGATTCCGCAAATACAGCGTGCTTGTGTTTGCCTGTAAAGAAGTGTGCGCCGGCGCCGTTGTTGAAACATGGCTCCCATCCACATGTCTTCCGGTCTCATTCCTTCGGATATACATTGGATATGCGGTTTATGGATGGGGTTGAGGGTGGTGCAGTGCAAGCCACCCTTTGTCCCTCTGTAGGCGCATTCATCCTGTGGCTGCCCACAGCGACAGACAAATCCGAAAACGGCCGCCGCGAAACATATATATAAATAAATAAATAAATAAATAAATGAATAAATATATATATATATATATATATATATATATATATCGGGACAGACTATGGTGGGCGGACAGTGGTGGTGGATAGATCCTGACAGACGGTCTGCCCACTGCTGCTACTGTTGTGCCATGGGTTCATGTCCTGGACGCCTCGTGGCGACCGCTGAGTGGGAGTTGGGTTACGCCCTTCTCCCTGTTAAAATCCAGGACACCAATCCGCATGAGTTAGTGGAATGAACATGTGCTAGACCCGCTGCATTTCGGGTCTACATTTAATCGAAGGATTTGGCTGAGGACCCGAGTCGATCTCCTGTCAGGTGTGGGCGCCCTCTCAGTATCCTAGTCCATCCTCTTCGGATGTTAGGAAGTGGTCGATAGCCCTCTCCCCGTAAAGGCTAGCCATGGGAGACAACAGGTCCACGGATTATAAGCTCACAGCTCGATTGGCGTAGAGCGCGAGCACCACTCATAGTCTCTGACGGTGGGAGGGCAGCTCAGGGTGTTCAATGATTTCATACTGCCCGCCTCAAGCCAGACTGCCCCTGGTCAAATTGGTGCACACTCACCAAAACCCACCTGCGTCTGGCCGTGGTCGCAGGTGCGTATCCTACTACGGTCGCAAAACATATATGAATCGTTCCAGTATCTCAAAGGCCGCGTGTGACGGCCGTCAAGCAGATCCCAATCAGTCTCTGCAGTGACATTTCGGAGCTGGATCTACTCCCCACTAGCTTGTGGGTCTGGCTATTGAGCCAAAGACTCCGGGAGAAGTCCCTCAAGCAAACCACCAGACCACCCACTGCCTTGTGGGTGCGTTTATTGGACCAAAGACTCCGGGCGGAGTCCCCCAGGCAAACCTCCGAAGCACGCCCATTACATCGCGTGCGGTTGCCCACCAATGCAATCGTATGCCTACGCGCAAAGCACTCAGCATCGGGTGCTGGAATGTGCACACACTACTGGACCGGAACTCTTCGTTTGAGCGCCCCGCGAGCGACGCACTGCACTGGTTGTGATGGAATCGGCGCGCTACCATATCGATATTGCGGTGCTCAGTGAAACTCGGCTCGCTGAGCGAGATAAGTTGCATGAAGCATATGTTGGCTACACATTTTACTGGGTGGGCAACGCCGCCTCAGTACCACGTGAAGATGGGGTCGAATTTGCAATACCCGATCGCCACCATGACCAGCTCGTGGGTGAAGCGACAGGCATCAGCGCGCGACTGATGACTGTTCGCCTACGACTCGGAAGAGGTAAGTTTGCCACCTTTATAACAACATACGGTCCGACCATGTGTTATCCTGATGACATGCGTGAGCAATTCTACACTCAACTACACTACGTGATACGGTCTATGTCGAGGAGCGACCGACTATTTCTGCTGGGTGATTTCAACGCGTGTGTTGGGCATGATGCATCGGGGTGGACAGATGTTATCGGTCCGCATGGGATTGGTTCAACGAATACGGAAGGTGACAGGCTGCTCTCACTATGTGCCACTCATGGCCTGACGACCACGAACACTCGATTTGCACTGAGTGCGGGTGATGTAGCAACTTGGACGCACCCACGGAGCGGTCACGCTCAACTGCTCGACTATATCATCGTACGTCAGCGTGAAATGCGTGACGTGCGCATGATACGTGTACTGCGTGGAGCTGAGTGTGGTACTGATCACAAATTGGTGGAAACCAAACCGTACATATATTTTCGTAAAACTATGTATTGCACTCCTGCCGCGAATCGGCGTAAATTGTAGCTTGTGAACTACTGCGATGAATACCTTGAAATTACTACTACTATCTTACTACTTGCGAATAATATAAAATAAATATCCTCTATTGGTTTCAAACGCTATTGATACAGCTTCTGGCATGAGGATATCATCACCTCGCAGGCTAGCCATTGTCAGTGACAGTGGTAGGTGGTGCTGTATTCCAGTTATCTTGCAAATCATGTAGCTCAGACACCGTCCCGCATGGCTCAGTGGCTTAAGCTGCTGGCTAGTTGGTATTTGCCTCTAGCTGTCATGGGTTCGATCCCCAGTTGGGGACCGAGGGATTGCGCACCACTAACAAGCCCCAACAGGGCGAAACGCGTCTGGTGCTTTTCCAAACAAGGCGTTGCTATATAGCTTGTGAACTACTGCGATGAATAGCTTAAAATTACAAACATGACTGTTTGTCTTTTCCAGCCCTCACCCGGAATGGAATCCGTGGGTCTGCCCGGATCCAGATTGCCGAGTAAGTGTTGGAAACCACTTCGGGATTTTGATATCTTGGTAGCGTAATAACAACCACCCAGCAGATGGCTTGCGAGCTGCGCAGCCGCGTATCAAAAGCGGCTGCTGTTTTTGACACGCTCAAATGATGTGTGTGTAACAAGGCCCAGCCCAATGTTGGGACGAAGCTGCTGGTATATAACTAAGGTGCCGTCCGTTCTATACTGCAGCGAGACCTGGACCCTCTATCAGAAGGATGTCCGATATCTGGAGCGCTTCCATCGGCAGTGTCTGCACCGTATTATGCGCATCGGCTGGCGTGACCGAGTTGCAGACACGGAGGTGCTCCGACGCAGTGGCATATATGCTGTGGGCTGCATCCTTCTCCCGTGTCACCTGCTGTGGCTCAGGCATATTCGCCGCATAAGTTCGACCCAGATACCGAAACAGGTGCTTTATGGCCAACTGAGTGCAGGGA